CTGTCCCATAGTGTTCTTTTCCCCCCTCCCTTGTCCCATAGCACAGTATTCTTGACTTTTCATGTTATCATTACTATCTTTCATTGTGATATATAATCATCTGAATTGTTAATGCACGCATGTCTGTAAAACTATGCACTCGGCCGAAAACTAGTCATATTTTCAGAAATTTAAATTTTAATATATATATATATATATATATATATATTTTTTTTTTATTTTTTTTATTTCGGAAAATATGACTAGTTTTCGGTCGAAACTGGATAGGACCATTTTCGGCCGGAAATTTTGGCAGCCGAAATTACGGTGCATCCCTAACTACAATAAAAGGATTAAAGCTTACCTGGAATACAGTGCCAAGCCAAATCCTCCAAAATCACTTCTCTACCTTCTCTGATGTCACACCACTTTGCCCTCTTTAAATTTTTCTCATAGATTGTTGGACAAGTGTCCTCATATAGTGAGATGGCACACCTACAAGTGAAGAACCTAATTATGTCTTGCCAGCATGATGATGACGACGACGGTAACTTTTGCACAGAATTAACATTAGTGGGCCCAGATCAAACTGGGCTGTCGTGTGCAGGAGGGATCATTTCACCCATGCAAAAAAATTACAGATATCTCAGTATAGGCAGCATTTCAAAATGAAAACACTGTGGCAGGAGGTGGCCATGGTAGTTGGAGTAGCCAAAATATTATTATAAATCCTGGAAAGTTCCTCTTTAACCTCTTAAGGACCAAACTTCTGGAATAAAAGGGAATCATGACATGTCACACATGTAATGTGTCCTTAAGGGGTTAAATATACCATAAAAGAACATGTTTTGAGCTTTCCCAAGACACTTTGCGGAGATGTCTGGGTCTTTCAGAGGAAAGAAAAGTATGACCTATCCAAGTACACAAAGATAAGACAATTTCATGCCAACCTTTCCATATCGCAGAAGCATGTTTTGTTTGTTTTTAGAAGATAGAAATCATTGCTTATGTCAGAAAAATCAAACCGGGGGGACTAAGTAAGGTTTGTTGATTTTAAACTTGAAAGACCCTAAATGCAAAAATCAACAAACCCATGTTGTTGTTGTTGTTGTTGTTATTTTATTATTTATATAGCTCCAGCAAATTCTGTAGCACTGTACAATGGGTGGACTAACAGACACGTAATTGTAACCAGAAAAATGGACGCACAGGAAAAGAGGGGTTGAGGTCCCTGAGCTTACATGCTAGAGGGAGTGGGGTATAGTGACACAAAGGGTATAAGTAGTGGTAATGAAATAGGTTGCTAGAAAAGTATTCACTGAGCACTTAGTTTATTAACATATCTAGTAAACAGTGCTATCTCAGCCCAGGAAATCTACCTAAAGGTAATTGAATGACCACAAAAGCCACAATATAGTATTGCTGAAAACAAAAAACAAAACAAAAAAAAAGTGGTACTAAAGACGGTGAATTTGACATGTTTTCTGGAAATTAGTAATGACATAGTCGTTGTAGGGGAGGTTGGTGGTGGGAGACAAGGATATATTTTTAAATTCTAATTTAGTTTGGTGCTTCTCAAAGCAGCTACCTTTTTATAACATAAACGAGGAGAGGATTGTGTCCCCCAGGCAGTGGCGTCTCTAGGATTCATTTTTAGGGGGGGCACATGGAGGCCAGGGACAAAAGTAAGGGGGCACATTTAACCCCCCCTCGCCACAGTTTGACCCCGCCCTGTTGTATGTTAAGCCCCGCGCCCGACACAATGTGTTTTGTTTTTTTAATAATCCCTGGTGGAAAATAATGAATCCTCCACCAGGGATTATTAAAAAACAAAACACAAACACATCACCCTTGATACAGTGCCATAGTTGCCAACATTTGAAAAAAAATTTCCAAGGACATTTTGCAGCACAGCTATCAATTACTGTCTGGGTATAATATCCCTGGACAGTCAGTGCTCTCTGTATAATACAGGGTTGGGTGTATAATAAATTGGGACACTCAGTGCTCCCTGTACAGTGCTGCTCTCTGTATAATACATGTCTGTTTGTGTATAATATCCCAAGACAGAGAGCAGCTTATACAGGGAGCACTGACTGTCCGGGATATTATACAGGCACAGGCCTGTATTATACAGAGAGCAGCACTATACAGGAAGCACTGACTATACTGGGATATTATATACACACAGGTCTGTATTATACAGATAGCTGAGCATATACCCCATGTCCCAATCTCTAGACTACTAGTACCTGTCAACAGCAGCTCCCAGACACGTGTAACAGGGCTAAAGTGTGCGGCAGCTCACGCAGATGATTCAGCGGTAAAGTGCACTCGCTTGCAGAGCCAAACTGGGAATCCAAAGCAGCCCTGGAAAAAAAAATGTATGCCATTCCTACAAGTCAATATATATACACACACACACACACAGACTGCTGAGCAGTGGCGGATCCAGAGTCTGATCTCGGGAGGGGCACTTGTAGATTATTTAAAGAAATAATCAAGACACAATAACCACTACAGCTC